TCCCTCCACCCCCATCCGTGCAACCCCCCAGCACATACCTTGACCTTCTCATCCAGACTACGCGGCAGGTTGTCCTTGACAGCGACGGTGACGGGGTAGTTGTGCACATTCTTCACCTCAATGGCCTGCTCGTGCGAGACGACCTTCACCCTGCTGATGATGCCAGAGGACGAGTTGACCTTGACCAGGGGCTTGTAGGTCACCCGCACGCCCGGGTCAACGCCGAGCGAACACTCAAACTCTTCCTTAGGCGCCACAGCTTGGAGCTCAGCCTGTGCATGTAAAGTCAAAGTACCATACAGTATACAGTCAAACTGCCCCAATGGTCTGTCCCCGTCGCTTTATGCAAGAAAAATTCTGAAATTACGCAAACTGAGCCCAAAAATGTGAAATTATGCGATTCTGTTAATCTCAACAAAGAATCATAAATGAAAATAATTAGAAATTATGCAAAATATGATCAAATGTTGCTTAATTATGCGGGGTGCATAAAATCACGGGGACAGAATGGTCACTTGTACAAGACACTTACTGGTACAAATGGCCACTTTCCATCCCCCCCCCCATTTCCAACAGTTTGCCCATACATAAAGTTTTATTTTTCTGAAATTACATTCATTACTCGTTTTAACTTTTATTTTTTTCAGGATTTTGGGAATTTGTTTGGTATTTTTAAAATGTGTTTTTTAAATTAAAGGCTTGTATTCACGGGAGGTGGGTTCCTTCCCCTTGCTTAGGATCCAACAATGGACTTCCCGTCCAGGCCCTTAGGGTGTAATGTGTTAACCTGAATTATGGATGTGTCGAAGACATTTGTCAATCCCCGATGTATTTGAATTATTCGTGCCAGACTATAGTGATTTTGAAACTAATTCCATAAGAATGCCAACAGTCTTGAGCTAAAGTATACATTCTTTAGATCAGCAAAAAGTGATGCACCCAATGAGAGAGCATACAACCAAAGATCAGACGGATACAGAGGAAGAGAACCAGTGTCTCTGGTGTAGCGGTTAAGAGCTTTGCTGTCGCATGCAGGAGATCTAGTGTTGATTCCAAAGAGGGGAGAAAATTGTTATCTAGTATCTCTGTCTTTCTGCTGTAAAGTTGTATCTCTCTCAGTCCAGGTTGGCCTCAACAGACAGGAAGGGGGTGTAAAATCACCTACATTTAATTAATTTTTAAAAACACGAAGAAGCAGGGCAGGAAAGGCAGAATAATAACAATAATAAATCTCAGAAGACCAAAATCTCAGAAGAGATGTTTTCAACAGCTGGAGCTTTTTAGTAGAGGTTTTTCGGCGCTCGCAACTGCATAAGGTCATCTGAGCGCCAGAAGAATAGAGGTGTTACATGAGAGTAACAAACATAAAAAAGAAGAAGGGGAGATAAGGACAATAGATGTTTGAAAGGAAAGAAGAAGCAAACCACACCAGAGCACCTGCCAACCACCCACCCAGCTGGAGCAGAAGGAGAAACACTAAACAAAACCGACATATACTTTCTTTTTAATTCTGCACCCAATGACTACTGCGTAATGCACACAAAGTCTGGGTAAACGCCTTTTGACCTGCCCCCCCCCCCCCCCCCGCCCATTGATCAAGACTTTCTAGTACTTGACCTGCACTTTCTTCAATCAACCCTTTTTACTTCTTGGATTGATAAGAATTCACTCTTTTCATCGTATTGGAAGAGGCCCAAAGCCCACCACATTTTTCAATATCCTTTCAAAGTTTCATTTTAGTTTCAACTTTCTTATATTCAGTATTCGAATATAAAAAGTATCTTTGGCCATTAATGATAATGTTGGTCACTCTCGTCCCACTAGAACTAGTGGTACCATAGACGGCAGTTTGTTTGTTTACATCAGTTACATTAAAAATCCGGAGTTGCTTGTCCCTGATTTCTGGCTCTGTGGGTGAATTTTTTTTTAACCTTACAAAGTGAACTGGGGCAGTGCAGTGAAGTTTTATTTTCTTCTACAAAATTTGAATCATTTTCAACAAAAATTTCATTTATAGAGAGTTAAATGATATATCTATCAGTATATCTTACCCCGGGCGCATTTGCCATTGTTGATCAAAAAAACATTTGGAAGATAAAATAGTTATTTTACCATAACTTTTTACAGAAGCGCCGTACAAACTCCGAGTGGGTTGTAAACTCTTCAGCGTCCAATTCTACTACAGAATTACATGATTTCTGCTGCCAATTACAACGATTAGCGATGGAAAATTCCGCTCAAATAAATCGTCCAAAACGCGCTACGCTCTAAATATATCAAAATTTGCATGCCACGCGTTGTGGCAGAACGCGCGACGACCCTTGCAGTTTCAACTCAAAATTCTATAATGTTACACATTTTTCTCCCCATTGAAACTAGGACGGAAACAAACAGCATACATAGACCTCTCATTTCAAGTTGATTTTATGACGCTGGGCCAAGAACTAATAAAGTTATGAGCTGAGAAAGAGGAAAAACCGGGATTTTCGCAGAAATCTCCCCTCGGCAGGCGAGCATGAAACCCCCTACAGTCAGGACCAATATGGGCTGAGAGGGGTACAATATCCCAGCAGAGAGAGAGACATACTCGATTTTAAAAGTTCCTCCCCACTCAGGAATTGAACTTGGGTCTCCTCCTATGTACACCAGCGATGCACCTAACTACTTCACCACAGACTCCAGTACCCCAGCAAACTGTGTCAATGGAGGTGTAAAAACATTTACATTAAAAAAACAACAACAAACCTTGGCAACAAAGCTGTTGTCCAGGAAGATATTAGACTTTCCCGGCAAAAGGGTGAACTTGGAGGTGTTGACGACCTTGGCCTGAAGGAAAGCGTGCGGCACGACCTTGGGAATACTCACATAGGTCATGGTCGGCTTCAGCTCCATTATGCCTACTGTCACCTATACACAGAGAACAAAGACAGCTGGTTTAGAGAGAGAGATGGTTTCATTCATAGCTGACAGTACGCTATTTCAATTGGCTAACAGCATTACTCGGTTGTTTAGTCATTTTTAAAATCTACCAAACCTCAGCAATTTCATGTGGATGTCGGCGAGTGCTCAAGTGTGGTTTGCTCCTTCTTTTCTATCAAACATCCATCATCTTAATCTCTCCTCCTTCTTTTTTGCATTTGTTACTCCCTTGCAACACCTCTTAACTTTGGCACTTGCAACACAATTAGGTCATGTATAAGTGCCAAATAGAGGTGTTACAAGGGAGTAACAAACACAAAAAAGAAGGAGGAGAGATAAGGACGATAGATGTTTCAAAGCAAACCACATCAGAGCATCCGCCAACCACCCACGACAATCAACACGAATAAATTTAAAGCAAATAATCATACTCAACAATAATCATGCCTTCAAACAGCAAAGCAAAGAGTCGAATGTCTTACTATTCACAAAACAGCCATAGATTAGATCTACTACTTTTTGCTGGATCGAGCCTTTGGTCAACAGCTCTGGAAAAAATAAAAACAAAACAAAAGACATATACAGCAAGTGTGGAGAAAAGCTGCCACATTCCCACACAAAAACCTTGGCATAAGAGTGGCTGGAGAGTAGTACGCTGCTCAGGGAAAAGCTGACAATTTATCATCCCCCCCCCCCCCTCAAGAGATTCTTTCTGGCTGTTTTGTAGACAAAATTTTATCCAAGTTATCTTCATCAAGAAAGTTTTGCATTGCTGTATAACAACTCTGGCTCCATAATTAGTGAACCAAAATGTGCTGAAGAAGTAAAAGCGGCAGGCACAACATGAAGAGAAGACACTAGCGAGCACACAGCCATGGTGTGTAGGAGACAGAGAGAACACACCAGCACACAGCCATGGAGTGTAGGAGACAGAGAGAACACACCAGCACACAGCCATGGAGTGTAGGAGACAGAGAGAACACACCAGCACACAGCCATGGAGTGTAGGAGACAGAGAGAACACACCAGCACATAGCCATGGTGTGTAGACATGAGCACCCAGCCATGGTGTGTAGGAGACAGAGAGAAGACACTAGCGAGCACACAGCCATGGTGTGTAGACATGAGCACACAGCCATGGTGTGTAGGAGACAGAGAGAAGACACTAGCGAGCACACAGCCATGGTGTGTAGACATGAGCACACAGCCATGGTGTGTAGGAGACAGAGAGAACACACTAGCGAGCCATGGTGTGTAGACATGAGCACACAGACGTGGTGTGTAGTAGACAGCATACAGCTATGGTGTGTTGGAGACAGAGAGAAAACACCAGCATATATAGCCATGGGGTGTATGACACAGAACACAGCCATAGTATGTACGAAACAGCACACAGTCATGGCATGTAAACACGAGCACGCACACAGCCATGGTGTGTAGAAACCAGCACACAGCCATATTGTGTAGAGACAACATACAGCCATAGTGTGTAGGAGAAAGCACATAGCCATGGCGTGTAGACATGAGCGCGCGCACAGCCATGGTGTGTAGACATGAATAGGCACACAGCCATGGCGTGTAGACACGAACACGCACACAGCCATGGTGTGTAGGAGAACGTACCTTATGACTTGTGTTGTCAGAGGGGATGCTGGACTGCCGCACAATCTCATAGCTGGCACTCACGGTAGTCTCCTGAATCTGCCACATAGAACAAACAGCATTCACATAAAAAAGGGTGGGGGGAGGGGGAAAGGGATGGGGCATCAATCTAGATACAAGTTCGGCCGGGGCTGAGGTAGGGAAAACATACCACTGTAGGAGTATGACAGTCTTTCTAGTTTAGTTTTAGTAAGGGTTTTACAGCATTTACAACACAGGCATCAAGATATATATAAGTGGGGTCAGGGAGGGAGGGAGGTAGGGACAACATTCTGTATGAGTACGACAGTCTGTCTAATTTAGTTTTATTAATAAGAGTTTCACACCATTCGCAACACAAATGAGTATACAAGCAAGTGCTAAATGTTAGTTTGTTTCACTTGTTTGAGTGAGTGCAGAGAAGAACATCGACACAATGATGGTCACTTAGTGCTCGGGAAAAGTTAGACAGACAGACAGACAGAAATAACAGAGGGAAAGTAAAGAAGTAAGAACTACCTGGGACACTCTCCAACCACCCACGCTGAAGATTAGAGGTGAACATAGAAAGTAACATAAAAAGGGGGAAAAAGATGTTTGAGAGGGAAGATAAGGATTATAGATGTTGGAAAGGAAAAAAGGAGCAAACTACACCAGAGCATCCACCAACGACCCACATTCCCTTACGAAAATATGTCAAAGTCCACCCACCAACAACCCACATTCCCTTACGAACATATGCCAAAATCCACCCACCAACGACCCACATTCCCTTACGAACATACGTCAAAGTCCACCCAACAACGACCCACATTCCCTTACAAACATATGTCAAAGTCCACCCACCAACGACCCACATTCCCTTACGAACATATGCCAAAGTCCACCCACTAACGACCCACATTCCCTTACGAACACATGCCAAAGTCCACCCCCCAACTGGACAGCCCAACCATGCATGATGCAGATGTGTCACAGCACGCTGAAATGTGACACTCATCGATTTTCGGGCATGTAGAATTTTTTATACTTTACTTTTACTTTTTCATCCTCTATTGCCGTTAAACGTCAAGGGGAGATGCAGTTTTCTATGGTAGACCAGCAATGCAGAATTATTGATATTATATATCATCTTTAAACTTGTTCATTTTTTTTTTCTTTTAATGAAAAAAATACCTGTCTACCTCGAACAGAAGTTGAGATATTTGCATTTCAAGGAGGTAGGAGTCACAAGTGGCAGAGGTAAAATTAGCTAGATTTCTTTGATATCATTATTTTGACGAGTGCCTGATTTCACAACGATGACTCACAATTTCATTTGATAAAAGTTTTACCGAATTCTCAACTGCGTAAGGGAGATCAACATATAAGAGGGGCCAGGGAAGGAGGAAGGGACAACGTACTGTATGACAGTCTTTCTAATTTAGTTTCAGTAAGAGTTTGCAACACAAATGGGTCATACAAGTTGTCACCTCAGAACTATTTAGTCCAAAGTGCTTTATTTAAGTACACTTAATTAAGACAAAGTAGTTCTGAGGCGACGAAGCGCTGAAGATTAGTTTTTCTCGTTTGTTTGGGTGCAGAGAAGAACATCGACACAATTATAGTCATTTAGTGCTGGGGAAAAGTAAGACAGACAGATCGAAATAACTGAGGGAAAGTAAAGAAGAAAGGACCTACCACCCACCTTCCCTAACCAACACATGCCAAATTCCATCCCTAACTGGGCAGGCTGATCATTCAATTCATGATGCGGATGTGTCACGGCATGGTGAAATCAGGCGTGTATCAATTCTTGGACATATAGCTATTGATATCATCTTTTTTATGCTTGTTCGTTAGCCTTGCTTTTGACCAAAATAAAAAATACCAATCTATCTTGAACAGAAGTAGAGGTATTTGCAATTATTAAAGGAAGTAAGGTTGAATAGAGTCAGAAAGAAAATTAGTAAGAAAATGGATGCCAAAGTATGGAGACTTCCAAAGCTTGAGAGTCCTTGGAAACGGCAAATTTACATTTTTTGTGCCTTTGATCCGCATCTTTCAGTAAAACCCACACAGAAATGTGCTTTTAAATGGACATAAAGGGCGTTTGAGTAAAAAAAATTTGATAAAAACTGCCCAGTGGCTGGAAAATTGTACTCTTCTTCAATTTTATCATTTTGATTAGTGCCTGATTTCACCACGATGCCACACATGTGAAAAACCAGACCTCCACCGGTGCCTCAGCCATTGCTGCCATGGACTCATCAAATAAAATTTCTCCATCCGCAGACATAGACTGACACATGGCGAACTCCACTTTACGGCTCGAGGGTCTAGGAATGAAGACATCAGGGTTTCTCCGAAACCTGAGTGGGAAAATAATCACCAGGGACATTACAGACAGCACAGGCTGTGCCACTGGGACATTACAGGCAGTGCCACTGGAACATTACCGGCAGTGACACTGGGACATTTCAGACATTACAGGCAGTGCCACTGGGACATTTCAGACATTACAGGCAGTGCCACTGGGACATTATAGACATTATAGGCAGTGCCACTGGGACATTATAGACATCACAGGCAGTGCCACTGGGACATTATAGACATTATAGGCAGTGCCACTGAGAAATTACAGCAAGTGCCACTGGGACATTTCAGACATTACAGGCAGTGAGACTGGGACATTATAGAGATTATAGGCAGTGCCACTGAGAAATTACAGGAAGTGCCACTGGGACATTTCAGACAATACAGGCAGTGCCACTGGGGTATTATATATACATTACAGGCAGTGCCACTGGGACATTATATATAAATTACAGGCAGTGCCACTGAGACTTTATATATACATTACAGGCAGTGCCACTGGGACATTATAGACATTACAGGCAGTGACACTGTTACATTATATATACATTACAGGCAGTGCCACTGGGACATTATATATACATTACAGGCAGTGCCACTGGGACATTATAGACATTACAGTGGGACATTATATATATACAGTTAAACCTGCCCTGACAGCCACCTCTATAAGACGGCCACCTCTATAAGACGGCCACTTTCCATCCCTCCCTGCGTTTTTTCTATTTAACTGTGTAAAACAGGCACCTATCCAACACCGCCGCGGCCACAATATTTTAACACACAACCCCTATCACACTAAGTAATAACACCTGTCTTAGACGGCCACCTTAGTGACTCCATTACGTTTTGTCATAAATCGTGCATTGGCCCCTGGCATTGTGGGCAACCCGTCATAATTCAATCACCTGTCGTTGTTGTTAGGTAGTCCCTCCAACCGATCATGTTGCGTAGGCCCCTCCCACTGTTGACCAATAGCTACCAATTTTCAGCTG